GTTCATCGTCTGGGCCACACTTGGCTGCACTCTTGACTTTCGCCTTTCAACCGAGAATTACTCGACATAAACTTAAAGGGGCATAAAAATGCCAGGTCCCCAAAATGCTCCCATTTACACACATGAACAAGTACTGAGGTTTTTATTCAACTTTTTTCCTTTAAAAAAGAGCAGACTAAGACGAAAATTTAGAGCACAATTTTTCAGTGATTTTCTGGTGCTGCATAACGGCCATGGAGAAGGGCACATTGTGTGTGAGCATGAAAGGAGATTCATTTTTCTTTTCCTTTGCTTGCTCATTCATACAAAAACTATTATATTGGAGATATGTACATATATTTTTGCATGCACAATCTGATCTGTATACATTTAAATAATAACGCAAGGCTTGGAGTGTCCGTAATATTCTTTATGCTTGGAGGAAAATTGAATTCGGGAACTTGCGCTTTGTGGATCGTCTCTAACACATTAAAAGTTTTTCTATTACTTAGATATTCTATTAAATTGTTTTAAGACCGACATGATTGACTATTTTGATTGTAATTTAGAGTACGTTTCAAACTGGAATTGTAATATTTTTTGGATGTGAATAAAGTTGTCTCCTTCACTGTTTTTTTATATCCTTCTCCTCCCCTTTGTTTACATTTTTACGAACGAAAAATACATATTCTTGGCTCGAAATATAAACATTGATTACATTCGGAACAACCCTCGCTGGCATCTTAAGACATTCGCAATCATAATGCAGGAACGACACATTGGGGCGCATTTAAACCGATTTTATATTGGATCAGCAAATGCCTCTGTAAGAGTGGGGGGGAAGTGTCTGTGTGAGTGCTCTGGCAATACAGAAGCCACGAGCAGAGTGGAAATTCGATTGGCGTATTTCTTGGCACGCACGCATACAGAAAGATCCCAGAGCCGTATATGATTCGTAGAGGGAACGCTCCTCTGAGGCGAAATTATAATGAATTTGTCGTGCATACCATACAAATGCGTGACTCGACACGGACACAGACCTCCAGCAGACAGGCATGCCCCCTCCATCTTGGACAGATTTGGCTTAGTTTCGACGATGAATCCGAGGAGATAAGCACTTAAGTGACTTTGTCCTGACATGGCCCTTGGGCTGTTGTCGACATCGGCATCGTGTGCATGAAATAAATACGATATCTTTTGGCTGTTGTTGTTGTGTATTGGCAAATAAATTGAATTAGAGTAAAATCGGTAGCCGTTGGCCGTAATAAATTAATGAAAACGCAAGACCAGGCGTCGCAGTGGGACAGCCAGCAGAAGGAAAAACAAAATTGAGAAATCAGCATAAATCAAAGCGAGTTCGAGTTCGAGTGTGTGCAAGCAGCCACTGATTATAGTTGTCGCCTGACCAAACTTTCGTCTCTGGCAAGTTGCAAATTAATTTTGATTAAGCCTCATAATGTGTATTTAAAGATATCCTTTTGGGTTGCCAGCATACTCTCTTAACCAGCTAACTGCAGCCATCTTATCCGGAGCAGCTTTTGTAGCTTAAAAGTTTACAAGCCAAAATCTGTTTTAATTAAATTCAAGTGTTGTACGCTGCCCTGCGACCTTTTCTGCATGTCAAACGAGCGGCAAAAGAAACTTCCTTCTACTTTTCCCGCTTTGTGCGAGTCATTTTCAAAGAAATTCACAAGTTATTCATTTTCGTAGGGGTCTGTCGAGGCTGAGGGGATGGGGCTTTGGTGAAAAGTTGCGTTGAGTGATATGTTACCAAAGAGTTGTCGTCGCCTTTGGCCAGGGATTCATGGTCCTTGCAGTCCAAAGCAGGAGATGAAGATGAAGCGAAATCCGGACCAGACCAGCAAGAGCAATCAATGCAAGTTGATTTCCATTTCGTTTAAGTTTTTCAACTCACTTTTCGATGAATCAAGTTAATGAAATAAGCGAATTGGAAAACTTTTCAAGCCAAGTCAATGGTGGATACGCGCATTCCGATGTTCTCTTTCGAAACTTGATTATTTGACTGTCGAAATGGAATACTTAAAACCAATTAATAAAGTGTGTTGCAATTAAAAATACTGGAATCTGTTTGAAAATGCACTGAAATCTAGTTAAAAATTCTTACTTTATGACTTTACTTTTATGGAATGACATAAGCTCTTTAGTAAAATAAAACTGGTATCCAAGTCAACGCAATTGCTTCGCAAACTCTACTCGAATGTTTGAGGGTTTGATATTAATATCAAAAAAATATCTACAAATATCCTTAAGACATGTTCTTTGTATGTTTTCTTTTTAAATTAGCTCAGGACGATTACACTCCGATTCCCATTTATGACAGCTAAGCTCTCGATATCGCGCCATAATTTAAACCGCATTAAGTGGACATGTTTTAGCACTTTTCATAAGTTTGTCACGTTCAGTGGGCTCCTCCACACCTTCGGCCTCGATGACGAGTATTTAGTTTAATGTCATGCCATAAACTTGATGTATGCATAAAATGAGTTTCAAATCAAAATCCAAAGCACTTTGGCCAGCCAATCTGAGGAGTTTTTGAAATTATGCACAAATCTGTTTTTATGTCCTCGATGAAAAAGTCATCCCGTTGCCAAAAAGTCGGAAGGAAACGCCTGCACTGCCGTCAGGCCTGTCGTAAAGAAATTTTAAACCAATTTATTTAAGCGGTAAGATGGAGAGGGGGCCGGCCTCCAACACTCAAGAACATCCTGCACATCAAAATCGAGTCTAACATGAATAAAATTATGATAAATACATATTTAATGAGCCAGACTTTTCATGGTAAGGTGATGCTTGGAAATTTATTAAATCTAATTGCTTTGCAATGTGCAATTGTGACAAATTGTCAGCTGTCACGGAAGTTGAAGTGCTTGCGTAGAAAATCAGGGACATAAACAAAATGAATGCGGCTCCCTCGCAGTAACCCTATTACTGCTAAGTGCCATTACAGGCATTGCCAAGAAAAATTACCTTCATGTGAGCGCACTGTGGGCGGTTCTTGAACCATTTATTATAGTCTAGCATTACCGTAAGCTTGGCTTGGAAATATGATATTTTGCTAATACTCAATAATACTAAAAGGTTAAAATGTTTTCTTCAAATCTTGATAATTTGTTCATAAATGCTTCCTTCTGGTTTAATAAAATGCTTGAAGCTAAGAAAATAAAGGAAACATGTTCTTTAAAGTTCAAATGTCTTCAATTTTGTCAACTTTAAGCATGGTATCCGAACCACTGTGCATGCTGCTACTCTGTGTTTGCATTTGCATTTCATTAAAACACAGGCAGGTAAACAAGTTGCCGCTCAGGGCACTCACTCACTCAGTCACTCATTCCGTCAGTCGACTCGTCTCCACCGCATTCGGTTCGGGGCCGCAACTATGACGGATGAGGACTACTGGGAGGCCACCTTGTTGGTTCATTTGGTGGCTTCCTGGCGGCAGACATTGAGTGCCACCAACGACGACACCAAGTGCCAAATGACAGCGGCAGCAGCGAAACATAGGTGAAAGTTGATGTAAAGGTAAAGGTAAAGGTAAAAGCCAAACCAGGGCAAGTGCACTGCAATTGCACGTGAGTGGATTCTCAAGGTGCCCCAATGATTGCTACAAACGTGACACGCCCAGGGCTTAAGAATAAGTATACCGCTAGTACACCATGTTGTCCAAAAGAATGTTTCAATTAGTTTATGTTACGGCAGAATAAACACGGCAAAAATGCGTGCAAACAGACTTGGACGTGAAGAGAAAAAACGAACCAAACAAATGAATAAAAATGCAAAAGATAATGACGCCATGTTCATGGGCAAACAATAAAAGCGTCAGGCAAATTAGGGGGCCATCGTCAGAGTCCCTGGGTCCGCGACCCGGCCAACCAACAAACAAACTGCCACTTGTCACAGGCGCCTCACACGACCCAGAGGGAGGTTGAGGCCGCAGCCATCTGGTCAGATAATTTTCTTTGTTTTGCGGTAAATGTTTTTATTTTATTTTCGTACAGCCCTCCAAGAGTATCATGATGACTTTGACAGGGCGTTTGAGGAGCTAAGAAATTTACACAAAAATGTCTGCTCGTATTTTCTCACCGATTTGAATTCGAACTTACAAATGTAAAGTAATCTGTTCAAATACAATCTTTGCGTTAGAGTATCAAAACGTTAACTCTTAAAAACTGAAGATTAAAAAAGATTGGTTTTGGGTGGAGGGAATGTTCGACTGTTAGCTATTTTTCTGCGTATTTTATCACGTTTTGCGCGCGATCTGCTTCTTTTTATATTTTTTGTTTGCTTTTCACGAACGGTTCTATATATAGGAACTCAGACAGGTAGCAATATGTAAATCAAACAGAAAACGAGAGGCGTCTCCTCACTCAGTACATCCTGTGCTCCGTGGAGAGGAAAGGCGTTGACAAACGGTGAGCAAAATATGAGCAGGAAGGGAAATAAGAGCTCTAGGCACCCATCAAGATGGTTTTCACGTGCATCCCGTGGCCGTGGGAAATTTAAGCAAATAAAAAGTGAAACTTCTATAATGCAATTCGCCAGTGACTTCCGGATAATGCGAACTGGAATGTCAAACCAGGTTTATTTCATGCTTGATATTTGAACATAACAAATGCTCTTTTCTATTTAAATTTATTTGATTTGCATTTTGGGTGTTTTAACATTGTTTCTGTTCGTTTCACGGTGACGTCTGGAATTTATTTTTCAATTATTCAAGTACTATACTGAATATGCTGGGATGTCGTTATAATTTATCATCCCTTTTACTTGGGTTATTTTAAAAATTGTATGTGAAGAAGTCCATGTGATTCATTGTATTTTGTTATTTGTTTTGATATTTGTAAACATCACTGTATAAAATAATTATCAAATATTTTAGTCATTTTATTTGTTCGTTGGGGAATGATTTCAAGTTGTTCTTATCGTTGACATTGAGCCTTATAAATCACAAAGGGAATAAATATTTATTTTATAAACACTTCACATTAAATCACTTTGCTTACATTGAATTTCTCCTGAAGTGGAGATGGTTGTTCACATGCTGATCGAGCAGAGACTCGGGCAGTTCTAGAATTGAAACATCTGGTCTGGTTACAGAGCTCTGCCGCGGATTTCCCTTCGCCCAGTGACCATAATGGACTCAGTGCACCCGTTTAAATGGCCCGCAACACGTATACGCCATGTGGTGCCCCGACTCGACTCGAATACGAAACTTGGCTGACATGCGCGCACTGCTCTCGGAGGGTGTGTGCTCTCGACTCGACGTCTGTTGTTGGACTAAAAATCAGAATGCCTGCCACTGGCCGTGGCACTGACTGTTCGTTCCGCCTGTGTTCTTCTGCGGGTGCCTCAGAGGCTGTGACTGTTAGCTAACAGCAAGATTAACATCCACTCAACAGCAACAGCTGGGCGCACTGCTGGCCCATTCATTCATAATTGTTTTGAGTGAAAATTGCACCATGGGCCGCCGTGGCGATGTTTTCTTTGTCGGCATGGTGGAGCAGAAAATCAATTTGGTTAAATAGAATGCGACACTGGGGAGCAACTAGGAAAGCTTCATTCCAGCCACGTGCCTCGCAAATGTTAATGAGCCTGCGTGCCATAGCCTTTATTTCTATTCTCGACTATTTCTATGAATACATGCATTACACATATAAATACATACATACAAATGTACTTATCATACATATATAAATGCAAAAAGGGAAATTTTGACCTTTCCCCTGTTTTCCCGCAGAAAAGCATAACAAACTAATGCGCGTGAAATGTCAAAATCACTGTCAGACAAGGCCAGAGCAAAGGCTATAGATGAGTATGGGTATGCGAATGGAAATGGTTGAGTGGGGAAAAAAAAAGGAATCTGACGAAAATGGGGAAAAGGAAACAGGTCCAAAAGAAAGATGACGACGCATAAGCGAAAAACAAGCAAATGCTAAAGGCAAGGCAATCAAGAAAAATTTCTCCAGCAAATGGCATGGCAAATACAAACACCAGCAGCAACACCAGACTCAAGTGGTTGCATGATGTCGATGTGGTAGGATGAGTTGATGATGAGGTGGCACACAACCACACAGTCACACATATGCACACGCCTTCCACAAGGAGCCTTAACAAGGCTCAAGCGAATTATAGAAAATACAAATGAACGTTTAAGTACACAAAAGTTGAGAATCTTTGATACCCGGATACACATGGGTATCTGGTGAAAAGTTGAACTCAATCAAATTTATGTGGGTTTCTGGGGGTTAACGATTAGGACCCGATTTTTCAATGTCCTCCCAGACAACCAACTTAAACATTAATAAATGTCACTTGTTTTATAGTTATGCTTTTTGAATATTAAGTACATTAAATTATGTATTATGTTTGCTTTACTAAACGTTTTCTCTAAATTTAGCATAAAGAAAAATAATGTAGCCATTGCCTTAAAGACTGGGGTATAACTGGAGGTTTGACAAGTCTGAAGATTGCTTGTACTTTCAATTGCAGCTCAGAAGATAATATTTACATGGTTTTCATACCCTTTCGACTGCATAACTCTAAGCTAAGGCTTGCACGTTTTCGACCCTCAAATGAATATAATTGGTTGATCAGCAAAAAAAAAAGTGAACTCAGATTGCCCTTGCTGTTAGCCATGTTTAGAATACGTTTAATACGGATAATCATATTACATATGAATAGGAACGATGAACCAGCAAGGGCAGAGTATTTGCAGCTACGGCCTTGAGGCTGGTTTTTCTTTTCTGTATTTTCCCTGTGGTTATTTTTACAATTCCCAGGCCAAGAGTAACTAAGACCACTGGCAGCTTCTGTGTGGCTAATGTCTGGCTGCTTGTTTGCTGTCCGCTTTATCGTGTGGCCACAGTCTGTGTGCCGACAATTTTTAGCATATACGTAAGACCAAAAGTTATAGTACAAGCGGGATTTACGCTGCTGCAGTAGCAGCAGCAGCAGCAGCAACAAGCTCAAAATTAGCCTCACAGCCACAACAAATCGTCTCCTTCGCTCGGTTGTCTGCCTCCTGCTGTGGCACGACCAATTGTTGGATGTTTTCACAGCACCCGTCGCAAAACATTCAAAAGAAATTATATGTATAAGTAGCTGGAAAAAAAAACTCACAACCTTTGCGGTTTTCCCACACACATACATCACATTCACATGCACTTCGTACTTTCTAAGGGAATAATACAACTTTATAATTAGTTTAAGTTGTCGCAAAATGTATTCCATTAAAAGTTCCGCTTTGAAAACGTTCTGCGTGGCATACGTGTAATAATTCAACCAAGGACCTATTACAATATTTAAATTTAATTGTGTGGAAATCATTGAAATCAAAAACAAATTTTCTGGCGGCTTAAACCAAAGCGAAACCAAAGAAGCTACATTTATATAACCAAAACCTTGATGCACGACTTATGTGTGTATGATTGTATGATAAAAACGTTACAATAGCACCAGCATTTTCAACCGAATAATTAGTTTTGCCACCCGAAATGCATCATTAAAATGGGATCAATTTGCACAACAATACAACAGTAAAATTGTTCTGTTGGTATTTTCCATTTCCCAAACACCAAATGGCTTCTGTCTGGGCCGCCCCTGTAAGTTGGTCGTAAGTTCAAATTAATTGCATGCAATTCGGCAACCTAAAGCCCCCGACTTGAAGTGCTTTGCATTTTAAAAGTCGACCGGATTGCGGCAAGCGGCATAAACTTAGGGGAATTTCCACAAAGAGAGAAAGAGAGAGAGTGAAAACTGTAGACCCGAGATGGTAAATGTGAATGCAGGCGACATGAAATCCGCTCGAGTGCGCTCCCCAGTCCTCAGTTTGGGGCTTAGCCTCCTCCTTCTTCGACTCCAGCTAGGACATATATTTTGTATATATCCTATACGCGTAAAGTACACAGGGTAGCGTCATCTATGGAACACACCCTGCTTTTTTTTTTGGGGTTACAGCACACTAATGAGCATTTAAGCTTGCGGGTTGGCTGGCTCCCCCGAATCTCGATATCCTGCTGATTCTGGTGCATTTGCATAAATTGAAATTTTAAAATGGGGAACGGAATGGAAATGGAAAAATATGTATAAATAAACCGGGTGCATTGCGCTTTTAGCATAATTGATTTGCATTTTAAATGGATTTAAGAACAAAACAGCTCTAATTTTGGCTCACGTTTAATTTGTTTTTGTTACGCCTACCATATTGCACTTTATAAAATAGTTTGCACACGTCCTGTACACACACAGCCAATTCAATTCATTTGTATTCCATTTCCATTTGAACAGCAAATCCCCCAGTGTTTTTCTTTTGATTTTTTGATTAGTTTTTCATTGATTTATGTGTCCCTGAACAAACCAATATTTTATTGAATTTGAAGAGTCCACACACAAACCTCAGGGCAGCACATTTTGGCCGCACTTTAATTTGGCACACAACGTTGACTCCTCCCTTCGATTCCGATTTCCGAGTCGATTTCCAATTTCGTTTTTTGCTTTTTCCGCCTTCCTCTCGGAGCTGTCTACTAGGTGGCTGGCTGTGTATCTCATTCTGGTCCATTAAATGAAGCGTATACGCCATATCTGACGGGCATCGGAATGTTCGACAGCGGCAGCGGAAGCGCTAAACCAAACATAAAAATAAACAGCACACTTAATCGTGTATAAATGTTTATACATGTCTTTGGGAGCGGCATAGTTTTATGTCTCGGTGGAGGCATTTCCCAAGCAAATAAAAATAATCAGCCAAGTCAATATCCCCATAGGCCGACGAATCGTCTGAAAATCGCTGGCCACAAAACGAAATCCGAAGATATGCCTAAATCTTCCAAGGGGTGTCTATTATTCGTATGTCTCATGATTAAGCTGTCGGAGTCGGCATACGATTGTGGTGGTATGATGAAGTGATTGGGTTAGTGGGATTAATCCAATGAATGATGCTCTGATTGCTAAATAATTGAAAAGCGCTTAGTTAATGGTTTACCTCGAGCTCTGGCAGTCAACAGCGTGGCGGAAAGTTGATTGCGACACGCTCTGAAATGGATTTATGCAGATATAATTTACTTGATTATTTCTGTTTTGCCAAATAATTATTGAGTTGGGAAAGTATCAAGGAAGTTTGGATTTCACAGCTGCATAAATGAAGGCCAACCAAAAACAAACTTACAAATGTAGGTACTCACATACATATGTACATACCAAATACTTACCACAGACTCCAGAGCTTCAAAAAGCGGAGGAGACCATTCATGCAGTGCGATAGCTGACCAGCTTCCTATAACATCATGCGCAAGACACAGGACGCCACCGAAAGTTTGAACATATTTCACTACACTGCTATAGACCGCTTTTTGTTTGTAAGTTGAATATAATTAATGACGTTACTTTACATATTTATTGGCTTAAGAGCTTGAACATGTGCATTTTATGGTTTCAATAACAAAGAGAAGAGTGCGCTTTTAATTAGTTGAAAATTTCTATGGTATGAAAGTTATAATTCCGTCGTTGGGTCCAATTTAGGTGTTGTTGCTGGTTACTGATCCTGTTACTGCTATTCGTTGCTATTTTTGTTGTCTTTCGGAAAGTTGCGCATGTGTATACAGTTTTCCTGTGATAGTTTTCAGGACTAGTCATCCCCATCAGAGTCTGAAGAAGGGATGTCCACGTGTGTCCTATCGCTCTCAGAGTCCGTCTCATCGTTCTCGGAGTCAAACTCATCGCTCGTTGTATCCATGTCATCAAACTCTTCATCGCAGTCCGAGCCCGAATAATCTGCTTCTTCGCTGAGCTTTATTAGGGCATATTGGCCGCAATAAAAGCAGAATTCAGCGTCCATTAATTTCTCAGTCTTTGTGTGCACGGGGCACTTTTCAAATATGCGACCCACAAAACATTTTTTACACTTCAGGCATTTAATTTGATGGCTGGCACGTGCGCAAATGCAGCTCTTCTTACGTTTGGCAATTGGTTCAAGAGTTTTCCCCTTACGTTTGGCAGCACCTTTTTTTACATTTGGTTTGGCAATTGGTTCATTATCAGATTCGTCACTTATTTCTGGTTCCTTCAATGGTCCGTCGGTGGAATTATTTTCATTGTTGGACTTCATTTCATCTTCAGACATGGCCTTTGAATCGGTATGCTCAGACCTTTTTGTTTTTTTCTTTTTTTTTTTTCTTCCTTACCGACAAGCTAAATTAGAGAAGGTATACGATATATTTTTCGGTACGGTAATCGAGTGGCACTCGATTAAGTAAATTAAATTTAATAATTGTTTAAGTCTTTTAAATAATATGGAAATCTGTATTGTGTTATTGGCAATATAAAAAATATTCTATTGGAAATCAGTTGTGAAGAGTAATTCACGAATTGATTTATACTCTCGATTATCCATTATCGATTGTTTCTAACACTAATTTTGTCCCATCGCTAGGCAGGCTATAAAAAATATATACAATCTGTATATATCCAACGCCAACTATCGGCGTGATTCGAAGTACGACCAGACCAGGAACGCACTCGGCATTCTCAGCGTTGCCGTAATGGATAATCGATAGTCTTTGCGCTTTACAGCACATTTTTGTACTTTTCTTCTGCTGCGCACTATCACATTTAACCACATATTTATACACGTTTTTCTGATTTGCAATTTGCGACAAGAGGTACTAGTTTCCCTTAGTTCTTGGTAAGTTAATTGTATAATACAATTTGTTCATCAAAATTCCTGCTAGAATGAGTAAGTGTATCGTGTGTAGCAAACCTTTTTCTTGTACATTCCAATGCAGCACTAATCCAGCCATGGCGTCAAACTTTAGCACACATCAAGGCCCCGGCAAGACAATTGGGCGCAACGATCCGATTGATCAATATTTGGCGGATCAAAATTTGTATCGCAAGATTATGATTAAATCAGGGTGTAGTAGCCTATTCCGGGTCGTCGCCGAGCTGATGTATGACACACAAAATCTTCACTACGAGGTGCGAATGGACTGTGTACGCTTTATGATGGACAAGAGCCGCCTATTCAGGAGAAACATAAAGACCAATTTCAACGATTATCTGTTGAAATTAGAGAAGCCGAACACTAAAGGGACGATGATAGAACTACGGGCCCTGTGCCTTATGTACGGTCGGAATGCGATTGTGTACGAGCCAATGAAACTGGGCACGCCAGTTATATTTAGTGATAATTACAAGGATAATTTTAGTGTTTTCTTCGACAAGTTTGGCCTTTTCGATGCTGTCTACTCGATGAAAAGCATTGAGGAGGCAGCCGTTTGCCAAGCCATCACATATAAGATGCTTTACCAGATGTGTTTCGAGCTACCGGATGTAAGCCTGGCAGTTGAGAAGATGCTGAATCCGGACACATTCGACAATAGCACCACGCTGCAACTCAGTCGAAACGGCACAGTTCTCCGCCTCTTCTGCAGAAATGGACGCAACTTCGACCTGTCCACACCAGAGCTCACAAAGTGCCTATTGAACGATAAGCACCTATGCGATTTCCACAACCGAGATCGTAGGCAAGAGTACGTAAAGAAATTCGGACGAATTCCATTGTCGTGCACGCTCAAAAATTTGGATGAATGTATCGCGCCATTTTCGTATTCTGTTGCCAAGTCCCTATCCCCAGATGTATATCGAAATGTTGAACTCAGATCTTACATTCTGATGAAAAAAGAAGCGATTAGGTTTAATTTATATGCCGGCGACTACGATTTTTGTGTTGGCGCCCATTGTCAAGTGGAGCTTGGAAAAAGGCCGGGGCATATGAAGAAGTGCTATATACAGAAAATAGACAGGAAGACACGAATATTCTCTATTCATCTTGAGGGAACGGGCACAGAGTTGTTGGTACCTTCAAACACAGTGCATCCGCTGCCACCTAGTGAATTCCATCCCTGGAAGCTTGGGTATTTCCAACGAATGAAACTACAATGCTGTAACATAATTTTGAGTGGTAGCAATACCAGTTGGAAGTTTGAGACAATTCTAAGCGCAGCCCTTGACCAAAACAATCACCGTCTCGCAGGTAACCATGTGCCCCAACTCCAATCGCAAAACTTTGGCTTGGATCCAGCAGTGTCGCAGCAAGGATATGTTGTCTACCTAACAGGCCCTCCCCCACATTTCGCACCACCTGCTATGAGCCCATATGAGCACAGATATTTGCTACCAAGTTCACCGTCACCACCGCTTATAATAATGCATCCAATAACGATGTATTCATTTTCGTGTCCATTTTTCTTGCCATGTCCACAAGAAAGGAACCAGTACCCTTCATGGTCGGAGGCTCGATCACCCTTGGTCATCGAGGACATCACTGACACTGCCAACCTTTCGGCTGAAAGGACGTAAGGAGTACATTTATCCCTTTATAAACATTTCTATGCCTAACACACTGTTTTCCTCATTCCTTTCAGCATTTACTAAACTTAAGAATGTGTTTATAAATTTTAAGTTACTAACGATTTTTTCAATCTTAGAATTTAAGGCCATGAGATTGGTTCCGGTTGTAAGACGTATCAAAACCAGAAATAGTTCTTGTATGTAACTTTGTTTTTGTTCTGGTAGCAGTTGAGCTGAATTCATTTTGACAAATGTTTAAATGCATTTGATTCAGTTATATTAGATTTTTATTAGAATATTGTAACTTATTCCATTTTGGTATATCTCCTTTGACGATATTTTCTAAGCATAGCCGTAGTTCATATATTCGTTTTAAAATAATTTTTCTCACCTTTTAAATTCAAATATTTTTTCATGTATTGAAACTAGTCTTAAATTAAGCTTTGATGTACCTTTAGTTTATTAGCATAGTTTGTTTTTTTTCTACTTCATTAAGAAGTAGAGAAGTTGAATGTTCATGTTGAAGAACACAAAGTTTCAAATTAATAATAATAATAGTTTTTTTTTCACCTTTTGTGTATATTAAAATACTTTAAAAGATTACATCTCCAGTTTTAAACTTTGTGTAATGACTTAAATGAGAAGGTGTGGGGAAGAGCGATCTAAAGTATTCTGACTAATGAAGTTCGTCTCCAGATGTGGCTGCCATCTCCAGTCGGACATCGCCAGCCAAGCGGCACTGCAGATTCTTGTTGATGTTGTCGACCATTTCGAAGGCATCGATTATCATTTGTGCCTCGCTTTGGGCCTTCTCGCCCATCTGCTCCAGACTGCGCCTCAACTGCTTGTGCTCTCCAGTAGCGTCCCGATCCTCGGCTCTTTGGTAAATGCTAGTGCCGGAGAACAATGCGGCGGTGCCACTGCCCTGCTCGAGTTGTTGATCGAGTTCTTCGGGCAGCGGGAAGTCCAGATCCATGGCAAAGCACCGCAGCTCCTCGTACTTGGCCAGCTGCACCCTTTGATCCTGGCCATAGCTAATAACGACGGCCTGCAGGACCAGTTCGCTGCCCGGCAATTGGACATACGCAATGACGTCTTTAAAGAGGTTCTCCTGCCGCCACACTGTCTGGCTGAATTGTATGACCTGGTAGACCACGGTCTCCGGCTCGGGACTATACTGCACCAATAGCCACGTATCATCGTCCATGGCTACCGGCAGGTCCAGCTGCTCATCGAAGGCATGATCAAAGCAGCGAGCCTTCAGGTGAAGTAGCACCTTCTCCATGTAGTCCCGCTGATCATAGGAATATAGTACATGAGCAATACATCCGGGACCGAGACTGACCAGCGGATTGCACTTTAGCTCTGGCTTTGTACTTAGCCAGACCACGTTGCTAGGGGACACCAACTTCTGGACCAGTCGATCGCCAGCCTCTTCGTTCTCTGTGTACTGCACGAGGAGCTGCCTGGCACTGGACTCCTCCCGCTGCTCCTTGCTCATCGATGCCAAGGCCGCATCCACCAGCCGCCGCTCATCGGCGGCGAGGATGAGTTTGGCCTCCAGCACCATGCCGTTGACCCGGAACTCCACGAAGCGGGTCATGTACTTTTCAGAGACATCCGACTCCAACAGCTCCATGGAGTGGAGTACACACAGTTGTGGCTGGCCATTTGGCTCTCCGTTCTTCATCGATCCCTCATCCACTTCGGCCAGAAACCAGGAGAGACGAGTCGCTGCCGGGCCATTGGGATGTGCGACAGCTCCTCCGATGGCAGAGTCATCCAGTCCACTGTCGTTGCTAATGTTGCTCATGATGTTCCACGGTCCACTTTTAATAGTTGATATTTTAGTGTTGTCGTTGGCTTTGCTTATTGCAAACTGATGATTTCTTCACCACAGCGCTCTCTTTTATATGCCAGAGAGGTATAGAGCAGTCGCTATTACCTGAATTGATCGTTCGTCCCTTTTAGAGATCTCACTCGTAGACCCAGGATTTGCACGAGCTGTTCCTCGTTGGGACTTTTCCAATTGTGTAGTACCTGCGCCTTATTGCACGGATTAACCCAACAAGCGCAGATGTACGGCAATAAAGTGGCCTTACTGAATTATGTATGCACATATACCAGAGCAGAGCCGAGGTTCAACCCATCCTTGACACTGTATGACCCAGCCAAGCTATTAAATCACCCAATTGCAATTGTATAAGTGTCTGCAGGTGGTCAGTAGGTAATTGTATGGAAAAACCCAGTCCACAAGGCTGATGGTAAGTACACCCAACCCAACATCACCTCCATAAGTTTAACAATATCATATTTTTTTCAGGGCATATTTCGATGGATCCCGGCACAGTTGTCCTGGTAATTACTAACTCACTGGAGAGCATTTGTAAATGCATTATTGCATTGGCAATAGAACACGAAAATGTTGCGACTATAACGATATGTTTAGTTATTTACTTTACTTATTGTGCAACAGCCTTCCTATTCCATCGAAAGTTGGTCCGATATAATTTTCCAATTTAATGTTCTTCACGATCCGCCCTACCAGTCACAATGCGCAGGAACAGACTAGATGACGAGCCTAAATTATCTCTTCCTTCTGAGTCTGTGCAACTACGAGTTGAATAATTCTCTACATTGTCAATTAATATCAATCTAGAACTGAACAACTCTCCTGGGTCTCTGTTCACTTGAGCTGGGAAACCAGAAGGCGGCCTAAAGTTGCAATCAGACGCTTGCTTGTCCATTTTGATAGCATTAGTTAGAGAGAAAAGAAGACTAACATATCCAATATTCAGACCCAGCACTTGAGTGGCAAATTTCTGGACTTTCTTAGTTTCGGCTGTCTCCTTATTAAAGCCGCCGCCGTTTTCGCGTTTTTCTATGAGCTCAAAGTGTATGGCAAAAGGCCCATCCTTGGGCTTAATCGTGCTACGCACATCTGTCACACAAAATGTAAGGATTTGCTCAAACAGGCCCAGACTGATGGCTTCCTCGATAGCCGCATCGTTTGCTAGCAAGCAGCCTACAACAAAGCCGGTGCCCAGCTCGCGGATGTTCACATGGTAAAGATTGTCCTCCCGTAGAAGTACAGTCATTACAATTCGATCAAGGGGTCGACTGCCAATTAGATCAAATGCCTCGGTGACCACATGGTCTAGCAAGGGAAGATCTCTATCTCTACAGAACTGGCACAAGCTTGACCCACTACTTTCCTGGGAATGTTGTCCTAAAGTTTGAGTTGACTCAATGCTTTGGGATTCGTCCATCAACCCTTGTGACCCTTGACTGTCATCTGACTGAGTGGAGCTGGCACGAGTTTCGAATTTGTTTCCCTCTTGAGAGATTGTCGATGTTGCTGGGGTGTCTCCAGCGTTTCTCTTGTGCATTTCTTGCAGCGAACAAGGGCAATCTTTGTTGTGGCTTGGAGGCTCCAATATCTCTTCGCACTTGGGTTTTATGAAAATATGCATAAATTGCTCTATCAGGGACTCGCACGCCTCCTCATTCAAATTCTGTCGGGGCTCTGTGCAAATGGATTTTTGGCCGGAGCTATGGATAGCACTCTCATTTTTCTCATGTTCCCATTGTGTAGATTGATCAGTATTGGACGTGTATGAATTTTCACAATCATTTGGTTTCCTTTCCTGACCTTTCAATGATCTCAAGGAGCATTTCAGTTGTCTAAGGGAACATTCCTGTTGGTTCAACTTCTGCTCCATGTCGGATATCTTTTGAAGTAATTCAGGAAAGCGATCGCATTTGGCACATTTCTCTACATTTTGCTCAATCTTTCTGATTGATTCTGATGAATCTTCATACTGTGTCTCTTTGTGGAATTTTTGGCTAGGACTCGCTGTTTGACCTGTCTGGTCACTGTCGTCTATGGAAATATGTAGATCAATGTTTTCCTGCTGCAGAAGTGAGGATGAGTTTTCGTATTGTGTCGCTTTGTGGAATATCTCCAGTGAGTCTCTAGACATGATAGTGTTCTCTGCTTGGTCTTTGTTCTCCTGCTTGTTTTGATTTTTGGCCAACTCAATACTCGAACGAACCACAATAGTTGGACGCTTCCAAAAACGTTTTCTAGGACTTTTTTGTATCTTTCGATGATCAGTTTCTTCAAGAGTCTCTTTTTTCATGGGCTTCACGGCAACATCTTTTGGAGTCTCGCTCTCGCGTGGTGTAACGGTTTCAGTTTGGTTAATAGAAGCGTTTGGCTTTCCCATGTTAGTTGGTGTGGATGAGTCTTTGGGGCTTTTTTTAACACTTTCTACGTTTTCGGACTTAACATCGGTATTTGACTTCGACTGTGAATTCTGATCAGCCATCACTTCATCGCACTGTATTGCTTCATCAATCTGAAGATTGGGGGGTGGTGGGGATGCTGTAAGGATTGAACCTTCTATGCTCGATGTGCAGCAGCATGGAAATTCTGCAAACTTGTTTGGGGTTGGCTGCGTTTGAATGATGGCTTCCTGCATAGCATTGGGTCGGCTTATATTCGAGAACAAATTGTCAGGCTGCGGCTTATCGTTGGCATCCTCGCTCAATGCGCAGCCACAAGGGCAAGTTGCGAAATACTTGAGGATCGGCTGGGTTTGAGAGATGGTGTTCTGGGTAGCCACAGTAGAACGCATGTTGTCCTCTGTATCATCTTCACTCGGTGCAGCAAGCTGTTTGGAAATCGTTTGGATGGCAATGGTTTTGGTTGGGTTGCAGGGCTGCTTCTTGTCCTCTGGACCACCTGTACTGGTGGTGCAGCTGCAATCCGATCCACCGGCAGGTAGGCGAATAAAATGAGAGTTGCGGGTCCGTAAGTCGGATCCCTCGCCATCTGCAAGAGAAAGCAAATGTCAAGTTATTAACCTTTTAGATCTACCTGTCAAGGCGAAGGGTGAGCTTGGACTGATATATAAAGGAGTCACTTATTAGCTAGAAGACAGTTCACAATTGGCAGCCAAACAGTACAGAGTAAGTGATATAGGTCGTGCCCGAAGGATAACTCAGCTAACAAATCTTTCTATTTTAGATGACCCGACGCCAACGACTGGAATTTGCCATCACCCTGCTGCCCTATGACCCATTGTCGGTGCGTCTGTCGGTGGAACAGAAAAGAGTCGAGGACATTATCGCTCGTCTCCGCACGGACGACTCCTTCACCGAGGAGGAGAGCGACGACGGAAAAGCACGCCGCCTGAAAGATGCCGAGACCGATACTTTTGTGGACCACACCATGCACGATATCGAGATGACCGATTCTGGAAAACTGAGCACATTGGCTACCCTGACCCTGGCTGCCGAGCGCCTGCTAAGAACCAAACAGGATGAGGAGGACAACTTCGATAACGACTTGGTCATCGACGGGGAGGCAGCCTCGTATGATGCAGACCAGGAGACTTTGATGAAGAGCACCATAAAGGCGGTGAATGAGATGAAACTCAAGTTGCTGCAGCAATGGGAGCGGAACAAGCGCAAGGCCCTGGACCTGCTCACCATCGAGATTGAGAAGGTGCAGGCTATGGACCGGGATGATGCGCAACGTACGTCGCACTTTGAGATGTTCCGTGATGGGACTGAGGAGCACAACACCTCTACACCTAGGACCAATGACGAGGATTTGGGAATCGATGACGACGATGAAGACTACGTGCCCGATAGAGAGAACAGCAGAAAGCGCAAACGCATCACGAAACCCGTAACGTCCACCCCAAATGCGAAGCGTCCGTGTCCCGACTTTGAGTTCGATCAGGAACCAAACTCGCCGATGGTAGTGATTGGTCCAAATGGCACTCAAGTGTTGCGTAGCAGGCTGAGTGCTCTCAACTGGGACATGACTGGTCCCTCCATAACCCGAAAGTTGCTCTGCGAAATCTTTGACCGCGACACTCTCGCCCACCACACGCTGTCCGGCAAACCGTCACCGGCCTTCAGGGACTGTGCTCGTCCCAGCAAGCAGCAACTGGATCCCCTCAAGGTGGCGGACCTTGTCTATCTAATGACCAATACTCTGGAAATGACACCGCGTGAGGTTCGCACAGCGATCACCACGAAGTGCGCCGACGAGAACAAGATGCTTCGCTCTCGCAGCCAGCGGCGACAGCGCAAGTCCAAGTAGTTATGCGCATATGTCAGTAGTACCTAAGTATAGCCGTAAGTGTAGCCCAGGCCTAGCCACACAAATGTATGGGGACACACGCCCAAGTAGCCAGTGCATCGATATTCAAATAAACTATTCGAATTCCATATAACTTACCCAAGACTTTGTTGTTTTCTGATTCGCTTGCCAATGGATGGCGGCTGTCCGGTTTCCTGGGCATTTGGCTGCGCCTTCGGAAAAACGGAATGTGAGTTGAGACAGAAGTTGGCGACTGGATCGTGGTCGTACCCGGTCAGGAGCATTATAAAATTATCATAAAGAACTTTGTGTTTCTGTCATTGAGCTTCAAGACAAATAGACAGTTGTCCCTTGGATCGACTCATTTTTGAACAATATAATTTGGAATTAAAATCAAATGCGCTCTACAACATGAAATTTATATTTCAAAGACAGATTGAAAGCAAACAGCCCGCGGTCTACCAACCAGCTTTTGCCAACTGCAAGTTAGTTTTGCACTTCATCGTGTTCAGGAGAATAATTATAAATTAAAAATTAACATGACAGAAAAAAAAATTTTTGTTGTAATCATAAATGTAGTATATTTTGCGATATTTGTAAACATCGTTTTATTTCGAACATTCAGAACATTTTATTTTAGCGAATAGGAACAACTTCTGTTCTGTACAGTGACTAGTTCTCTTTTGTTTCGTTCGATCATGAACAGTTCAAGAGTTCATTTTGGTTGCAGATGTGGCAAAACTTCAAAGTTGGATTAGGAAAGATGGCACATATCGTTGAAAGTTTTAATCATCGGAAGCTTCAACAGAAAAAGGATTAAATCAGCTGTTGAACAACATCTTGATTAGCTGATTAACTTTTCTGTAAAACTACTTGAAACCCATTGAGACAGAAACTTAATAAATCCACAAGGCGTATCTAGTAGGTCGCCTTTTGGCATTTTTCAGTTCATATTTTGTTAGCTGGTCTGGCAGCACCTTAACTAAACTTGTCAGCTGTCTGCTGTGAAATAAGATAATTTGTTTCGATTTCATATTTTCTCGCATTAAAAAAAAAAAGCAAATTCGTCATCGGAATCTAGTTGACGACATGGCGGGCACCAATGTTGATGTAAATGATTTGAATGCAATCAACACTTGTGAAGAAACCCAGACGGGTTTGCAGCAGCAGCTGGTAAACGGGCTTGCAAAGAAAAGACGCTGCGAGGAGATGACAACCGACGATACGGCAAATCAGCAAATCCAACCTGATAAAATACTTAAACTTGACTTGCAACAGGAAAAAAGTACCGAGGGTGACCCCAAAATGGTAGACAAATCATCGCCGCCAAGCATTCAGATTCTTCAACAGAAAATCAGCGATCTCGAAAACAGCCGTAAGACGATGCTAGATCAAATTGCAGAGTTAAATGCAGAAATTATGAAGAAAAATAACGAGACTCATCGTCCAAGTGGTTCTACAGAAGTTAATTCAATTTTGAAAGAATTGGAAATGCTGTTTTCAAAAAATTCGATTTTAGAAGATACTCTGGAAGAGCAGGAGAAGTCCACTAAATTAATCATTCAGGAGATAGGACAGGAAATAGCGGATCTTGAGGTGTCAAATGCCCATTTCTACATTGAGCTTCGAAATAAGAATATTGCACACACACAGGAAATGGACAGTCTGCGCAATAGAATCCGTGACCTTAATACCAATATTACGTGCTCCATTTGCCGTTCTCACTGGACATCTGCTGGCGAACATCGTCTGGTTTCGCTGTGCTGTGGACATTTATTTGGAAAAAGATGCATTGAGGTGCTCCACGAATGCCCAAAATGCGGATTGGCATTTACTGAAACGGACATGCGAATCATTTATGCTCGCAACATCCTGCCAGTTGGTTAGCTTTTATGGCGTGCACACTACTTTATGGCCTTTTAGTCAATCAGTACCCACAAAACCCACAAAAAAAAATTCTTATAGCAAATAAGCTGGAGAACACTTGAATTTACTTCAAAACCAACTATATACATAAATACCATTCATAGAAATATACATACATCCGCAAGGTATCTAGTAGTTCGGTATTTTTAAGTTCATACTTTGTGTGCTGGTCTGACAGCTCCCTAACTAAAATTGTCAGCTGTCTGCTGCGAAATAAATATTATTTGTCCTGCTTATATTAATGCTAACATTTAATTCGTCATTGGAATCTAGTTAACGACATGGCGGGCAACAATGTTGATGTAAATTATTTGAATGCAATTAATATTGACGCATCTGAAGAAAACCCGGCCGAGGCACCACCATTGCAGCAGCCGCAAAACAACGACCAGGAATTGGAAGACACAACAACTGAAGTTGAGGAAATGAAATCTCTGTTGGAAAAGGAGAAACGCAATCATGAGACTTTGCTAAACAAACTGAAAATGCATGACAACTCAACGCAAGTTACATTCCAGAATCTTCAGAAGAGACTGGATGAGCTTAAGAAGGACGAACAGCTGATGCTCAATCAATTTTTCGATGAAGAACGTTCTCACATAGTCGCCAAGGAAGAGCTTTTGACATTTCTCGATAATCCTGCTGACGATATTACTTGTATTATTTGTCTGTGTTCTTGGGAATCGACTGGGCCTCATCGTGTAGCCTCGCTGTCATGTGGACACATTTTTGGGAAGTCCTGCATTGAAAAATGTGTACTTTGCCCTAAGTGCAGGGCTCCAGTGCGTTATTGTGACATACTTTGCCACCCGCCCTCGTGATTACTTAAGTAGCACGTTTTGCTGGTTTTTATATAAAATGTTAATAATAACGACTTTATAATAAAGAACTTGAGCAAGCAAATGCAATTATGTATTTAAATATGTGCAAGCCAAAACAATTTAATAGTAGTTTAGGTTGGTATTTCGTGTGCGAGAAACGAGTCCAAATATTTAAATAAAAAAATATTGGTTGTTATAAGAATTGTAATATAATGCAGTAAATTTAAAAAATTTGTATACCGACATGTTATAAACAATCTTTTGCAATCTTTGCTTTTTTGACACTTTAAAACTTTATCATGATTATAAGCCAAGATTCATTATTTATTTGCCCCATCAACTAGTCAATCCAACATGTAATTTGATAATTTTTCAGTTTGTTTTTCACACATGCACCCCTGAAGAGGAAATTGATGTGTAATTCCAGCGACACAAGGAACTTGTATCGGGATATAAATGGAATAATCAATTTTCAGTTGTCGCTCTGACCAAATCGTGTCAGACTTGACTCTTTTTCTTGAGTATGTAAATATTTTATTTCATTTTTCTTACGTTTTAATATGCAAATGATATGTGTAGTAGAAAACGGCAGCTCAATTTGAATATATGTACATTCATCTATTTGATTCCAATAATCATGCACATGCTTACGAGTTGTGTAGTTTTTGGAAGCCTCTTTCGACCCAAAGCAGCAAAACATAGAACGGTGTACGAGTAAATTCTGTTTTCCCATTTCGCTGCTCGAGAATTGTATAAAAATGCTACACGCAAACATTAAAGCGAAACGTAGTGGGTCTCCACGAATTGGAATGAGAAAGCGAGCTACGAGTATAATAAATAAACTCTGGAGGAATTCCAATTCCTTGGGGCGTTCATCAAAGCAAAATCTATATCAATCATACGCACACAAACGCATACACAATCGTATCTGTATCTATGTGATGGCAAATTGAAACATTATATAAAATATCCCTTGAATGGTCATGGCCTCTACGCCCACAATCCAACAAACTAACCACTCGGTAAATTGCCCTTACACACTTGGGGATGGGCCGACAAAAAAAAAGTGGATTAAATTTTATGGAATTTCACAACGACCAATTTTTGAGACCACAAAAATAGCAAGTGTGATATTGTTTGCTGGTGGTCCCAACTTTAAAGATGTTTGCTCGAATACAAGACAAAGGGCAACAGTGGAGCGTGACATTGCTGGAAATGTATGCGGCGGAAAATGAAGTCATTATTTCAAGGTGAGTCACGTGGTCGCTATGCTTGCAACCACACTTTAGTCTCAGATCCGAGCTCCCGCCGCAGCCCCATCCTCACCCTGACCAAAAATCAAAGTCACACTTCACCGCTCCCACAGTCACGGCTGTGTTTCTTACCCCTTCGAGCTGTCGTTCTTTTCCCGACTCTTCTCGTTGGCAAAGTGTCAACGGCAGTCGTGCGTCTCCATCTCGACCACAGCCATGCATCGTGTCCTCTGGCTGCCTGACGCTTGGCTGCTGTCTCGCTCAGTAAAAGAGGCAATCGAAAACAGCACAGGCACAGCTGAGTCGAATTCTATATTCTTTGTATCCATATATGTATATAGTATAACCTGGGATTGTTGTCCAATCTCCGCATTATAGAATCTTACTCCACGAAAATACGTATTTTCAATAAACATTCGACCTGGATGTATTTTGAGCTAGTTATTTTCTATACAAGTCGGGAACATTACCCATACTAGGAGTATATACTCGTATGACAACAGGGTACGACAACGTGCCCGAGAATAATCTGCTCTTTGGCTGCTTGTCTACCCTTTGCTGCCAGCAGGACCGGGCTGACAATGACATTTACACTTCAGCTGCTTCTTTGCCTAAACTTATGGTAGATGATGGATGAAGGAACGCAACGTTGACGCTTATTTTACTCGGTTTAGCATAACTTTTTTAGCATTTAGCTCATTAAGCATACACCAGTTATTATCATCATTAACCTGACAATACGAGTATAGCAGGGATCCTTGGGGAGAGGAAATTTATGAGGGTTATCACATAAAGTCCCTTACCATTAGTTGGAGAATTTTCGTTACAGGTGAATACTTTCATTGCTTTGAAGAGGAAAGGCTTTTGGTATTTTCAATGGTCAATTAACTGGATTCTCATTTTAGAACAGAAACTTGACGCAGAGGCCGCCAAATGAAAATTTTAATAATGCAAATCCTTTGCTGTAGCTGGCGGGCTGTTGCATGCAACCCGTAGTTGCAGCCACCATCATCAGCCATCTGGCTACCTCCCGGATCCACAATGTTCAGGACGCCTTTGGCCATGTGCCATCATCGGCTTGTCGTTTTCAGTTTTAGCGTCTGCCGGGCCTCGACACAACAATGCCCCAAAAAACCTAACCAACCAAGCCTTCAACAACGGGCTCAGAGTTAATTGAATTGTGTTTACTCTATGGGACAGAGCATCAGACCCAGCAGAAAGCAGAATCACGATGATATTTTGGGCACCTATTTTCCTGGTGCATCCTCCCATCAGGGTTCCCTCAAAAAACCCATTTAAGACTCAACTTAATTTTCAATCTTGAACCCTGAGAAAACAAGCTAATTATTAGGAGTGGTGTTTAAAAAAACGAACAGCTTAGAACCATGTTATACGGAACAGATACGATAAACTAACCATACCGAATCTTAATGGAAATAGAGAAAATCCACTAAAAGCGTATAATATTGCATTATTAAATGGCGGCGTGAGGCACATTGTGGCAAAGTTTTGAG